TTTGAGTCCAATAGTGAAATTTTTCATATAATTTATTTTACAATAAAAAATAACTGCATAAATTTGTAAATATATATATGTGTGTGTGTGTGTGCGCGCGCGCGCGTGTGGATTATTCCTTAATCCAAAATGTTCCATGCTTTGCTTAATTTTTCTCCTCACAATTGCTCATTGAAGATGGTAATTTCTTTTCTTTATTAATATTACCATTCACAGGTTGAGTTGAATCAAGTGCGGCACATGGTTGCTGATATGTCCTGCCTTGGTAAGAACCTAGATTTGAGGCTGCTGCTACGCACCAAGAGAATTTTGGTAGCTCTGAAAGTGAGTTGTTTTCTGTTTAATTTTGATTTTTGTGTATCTATCGTTGAGCTTCCACATCAAATACTCTTCCTATTTCAAAATTAGCATTTCCCTTTACGTATCAACTATATTCTTCTTTTCTCATTTTCTTTGATTTAATTAAAATTGAGCCTCCACGATTCAAATGACTACCTGTAGAAGAGGTTTATTTGCTTCCATGGTTTGACCTTCTTAGGGAGGGTAGACAACTAGCTAATTTTTGCCTTTATCCAGGATGAAGAGATTGAGAACATTCAAAGCCTGATTGGATCTGCCACTTTAGATTCAGAAGTGAAGGGTGGATTAAGGTGGCCCTTGGGTAAACAGTCTTCAGCGGATCAATACACTGTTGTCGGAGTTTGGCATACAAATGGAAAGACATTTAAGAATTTGTCAATGAGACTTAAGGTTCGACATGCTGATCGATTTGATTTCAGATCTTCAGCTGGAGAGGTCACCAGAGAGGTCATTCTGAAAATGCCTGGAATTATACCAAAACTGCCGGTAAGCCTTTTCTGTTTCAAAAGTTGTTGCAATATGTTCCGTGTTAGTATTTTTCTTGATCTTTAAAAAAAAAAAAATGCATTATTGTTCATATGTAAGTTCATTTTGTTCGTTGGTATTAATCAGAAAGTTACCCCCTAAATAGTTTTTTATGTGCATCAACTTCAAACTTCCCTGCTTGCCAGAAGATTAACAGATCAACTACAATTTGGGTATATGATCATCGTCTCTTTAACTGCTATCAACCGTGTTTCTGTAGTTCTGGTTCCATTGGTGCCCAAATCTGTTCCATTTATGCATTTATGGGAAATTCATGAAGAATATGAGGTTGTCTGCCTAGGAAATGCTTGTATCTACTTACACCTATGAATTAACATAAGCTGATTTGTCAGGAAAGAATAACTCGGGTATCGGCACAAGTGTTTCATGTGATACATACCGTTTGGAGATGTTAGTAGTCTACACATCTACAAGTATATTTGTTATAATGTTACTGAGTTATGGTGTTTATTACACGTTACTTTTATCATAGGTCGATGCATGGATGATTGACTTTTCATCATATGTTGGTAGTGTTATTGCTGATGACCAATGATTGTTAAATCCAGTGGCGGACCCAGCACCTGGCGAGCCCCCGCGGCCGCCCGTGCTGGATCCGCTGGGAGCTTCAGTTGTCGCCGGAGCTAGAACCTAGAAGCTTGAATAGTTGAATTGCAGAGAGGTGCAGTCTGAATTGTGGAAGAAGATGAACAGGTTTCGAATTTGGGTTTTTTATTTTAAAGTTGGACCTTTTCATTGGGCCTCTTTTTTAAAAAAAAATTAGGCCCAAATCCTAATTTCAAAATCAATTACCAGGTCCAAGCCCATGAAACCATTTACCAATATCCCACACCAAATACGTTCCAAACACAGCTGAATCAGACAAACCCTCGTGTTGGCTACTGCCCTGCGGCTCTGAATGCGAGTTGCGAACTACGAACTCAACCTCTGCGATTGCGATGGCCGGTGCGTGGTTGAGACCAGTGAGTCTGTTTGTGACCTTCTCCTTTTTTGTATTTGTAAAATCTACGTTACTTACTTCGAGTATATTTTGGTAGCATATTGTTGAATGCTAATGTCGATTGTCGTGTTTATTTCCTGTTTATTGAAGCTAGAAGCTTGTTAAGCCTAAAGTTCTGGACTAGCTNGGGAGATTATTGGAGTTATGAATCTTTTATCATAGTTTTAATTATGACTGTTAGTATGTTTATATGAATTGACTGCAAAATCATTTATGTTCTCCTCTTAGTGTTTAATCTTGTCTGCAATTGATTACTGTAAAAACAAGAAAATGGGTGTTGTACAATTGATTTGGAAATGTGTTTCTTAGGAGACTAATTAATTGCTTACTTGCAGATTGAAAATAGAGCTTATTAGGCTTAGTTTATCACAAGCTAATAATACTGGTGTGGATCCTTTGTAAGAAATGTTAAAAAATGTCAAGATTATAGATTTATAGATAGATTAATATAAAATGAAGTAGTGAATTGAACCAAGATTAATTATAGACACCTCTTAAGAAACTTCTTGATGACACTAATTTCTCCTTATATGTGTGTGTGTGATTTTTACATTTTAGTTTATTTACATGTAGGTTGAATATTATTTAATTAAATATTAATAAACGATTTTGCTATTATGGACGTTGACGGTCAACGGTCAACTTCCGCCCTAGCTGGACTCGAAGCCTGGGTCCGCCCCTGGTTAAATCTGTTGTCAAGCCACATAAAATTTGATCAATTTCTCTTTTATAAATGCAATTCTAGAAATCTGTCAATCTTTCATGTAATTTAAGCCAGTGGTATTGAATATGTAACGGGAAGCTTGATGAACAGGATTCGTGAAGTGACATTAATGAATCTATTTGTTTAACACCTTGCCTAGAAAAGCTCAAGTTATTGAAAAGGAGATATATATTTTTAATAAATTTTGCTTTCAACATGCCATTTCACATGGAAGTCGGATCCCTTTTTCATCAAAGGCCTAACTACTAACATATGTAAAAAAATTCATAGATGGGTATCAAGACTTGAATCCAGCTCTCTCTATATGTCATGATACCTTGTTAAACCATCTCAACTAAAAGCTTTAGCTAATAAAATAGGTTCATTTATTTAGCTTTTGTTTCCTACGATATTATATGTAATCATGAACGTTGATTCTTACAACAGCAGCAGCCGAACTAGATGCTTTGGAGCAGCAGAAAAACTAATTCACAGTGCAAGAAGCTAAAGTGCAGGAGGCTAAAGCTGCAGCAAACAGATTCGAAGGGTTTGCTATTCTAAAACGCCAACGAGCCCAGGCACTCATTGAAAATGCTGACCTGGTGACTTACAAAGCCATGATGGCACTTAGAATTGCTGAAACTGCCCAAAGTACGAGCGATATTACACCAGTTTCTCTTCATTAAAAGATTGGTTTTCAGGGATTTGACTCGGACTGCCAATTCTTTTCCTGCAGAAAGAGGAATGGCAACCTCATCGCCCAGTATTTTTGAAGCCTTGGGAGGTAGCCATTCCAAATGAATTACTGTACTATTGTATAGATTTTGATTGAATGTACATTTGTATTTTTTTTTAATCTCAGCTAGATGTTTACAGTAAGGTTTAGACCTCTTTTCTTGTAGCAGGTAAAGTGGACATAATCTAGAGCTTTAGTTTGGAACTTCTCAATTTGCACCGAATTCTAAAAATCGTATATTTTTTATATGGTCCCCTGCCCCCCCACCCCACCCCACCCCATGTTTTTAACCTTTGTACTCGAAAAATCTGATTTGAGTTTGCTTTTACAACTGTTTTAAGGATTCTGCACATTGGGTCCCTGAACCTTTTAAATTATGAAATTCGAGCCCGAGATGTTCTAGGAACTGTAGACTGGTCCCTGAATGCCTTTGCAGATCTGCTGCCCGCAGATTTTTATGTTGCTGTTTGGATGGGTTCGCTAGAAATTTGGCCCAAACCCTAGAAATTCCCTAACCTACTCTTGAATTGAACAAATTTGGCTGGATCCCTTAAAGGAAACAGGCCTTACTAAACATTAATAAGGAAATGAGGAAATTACACTAATTCCTCTTTCGAAAGTTTCATTTAAAAAATCAAAATTTACGTTTATTTTTTCAAATCTAATGTATATACCACATTCTATCCCCCGTCTCATTAATCTATTTCTCCCCAAAATTTCTAGACCCACACTAGCCTCTCTACCTTCACTCGTCGCCCACTGCGCTACCACTCTGACCATCCCCACTGAGAATCAACTACACGATTACTTTCTTCACCTCTACCCTAAAGCCAATGACTGATACAAGGCGTTCGAGTCTATCCTCCACCTAGTCCAGTATCATTTAGTTAGAGCAGACATGCGTATCCTCTTATAGGGTGATGATCACATCTCCTAGATCTATGGCATTTGTTAGTCGATTGCAAAAACCCTAGTCGCCTTCTACTTGAAAATACATTGATGAGCAGTCAGGGAGAGGAAGGACATCCTTGTTAGATGCGAAATGACTTTGCTTGTGGGTGACCAACATCACTATGAGCTGAAGAAGTTTGGTGATTGTGGAGCTCGTGCTAGGTTCTAGAAGTCCTGTAGTTGATATTTGAAACGTATACTTAAATGATAGTATTGGGGTAATTAACCCCTTGTAATGTCTATCAATATCTATGGTGGTTTGAGGGAAATATTCCTTACAAATACTTCTAGTCAGACACCTTGTCCATCGATATTTGAAAAAGAAAAAAAAAAAATACTAAGATACGAACTTCATTGCTATGAAGAGAACAAACATTCCTCTGTAGCAAACTTGATAAATAATCTCAATTTTTCTTAAACAATAAGATAACCAAAAAAGAAACTGTCACCATGAACCGAACTACTTGGGTTGGCAATTACCAAGACTTTTTTCTAAAATGGATGAGTTTAAAAGCCTTACATTGGAGAAATTGTAGAACTCGATTTACCAATGGATGGTAAATGCCAATATGATACAAGAGTATTTCAACTCAGTTGTCAAACACAATCATATTTCTTAAAACATTTCACACATAAATGGATTCATGCTATTTCATGAACAAACACAATCTATCGTGATTGTCAACTAAATATACAGTGTGTCAAATTGGTCATATAAATATTGAAGAAGACAAAATGGAGATCAAATTATGCATTAAACTGCCGCATGCAGATGATCCAAAAATGGGTGGTAATAAATTTATGTATATATTTAAGATATACGGATTGCACGTAAACATATTGCATAAAATTTCAGATTTTATTCAGAAAATAAAACCATAAAATGCACAAGGAAATCTGTCTTAAAATTGTTAGAGAAAATTTGTGTATTAATTTATATTCTGCTAAACAAAAATATGTTTATGCAAAGACAATAAAATCAGGACTTACACTTGCAAAATATCGAATATAATTTTGACTTATCGAATGTATGAATATACACACAAATTGTGATTTACTTAAATGTAGACATTCAAAAGAGATGAAAAGAAGCTATATATGCAAATGTAAATCTCCTCAAGACGAATTCTGCCCCCTACACTAGTGTTAACATGATCAAATGGATGCTCGTTTCTCAATATACAACTCTTTTTCCAAAATTAATATAGTACAAATATTAATTTAGTCGAACAAACCACCGCTCACTCTTCTAGAATGGAAAATATTAAATATCGAACACGAAACCTAAAACTAAAAATATGGAAATTACTTTGATAGAATTTGGATAAAGAAAAAATTAGAAATCAATTATTTAAAATTGATTTTGAGTGAAGAAAATGGAATTAGGAGGGTCTCATTTATAGATTTTCATATGTTTCTTCGAATTATCATATCTTTTGGCACAAATTAATTTCAACCATTAGATCGCATTATTTCATATTTAATTGTGTAGATTGCAACTATCTAAATGTTCCACCCATTCTA